ATAGGAGAAAGAAGGTAATTTTTTAACATTTACATGGTCCTAAGGTAAAGTCAGAACTCACTTCCATATTTTTCTTGAGAGTCATCTTCGACTTTCAGTCTGTATTTTAATGCAACCCACTTCAGCAGAATATGTTTGGGGGTTGTAAAAACAGTGAGTCCCAGCAGAATCACACTTCACATTACTTATCTTGAGCAAACATTGTACTGCAGAATAAGATTTACACCATAAATTCAAATTCAGCTTTCATCTAAGAGTCTAAAAGGGTGGCCCCTTCTCTCTTTCCCATCACCTACCACTGTGAGAAGGACCATATGGGGGACAATTTGGTTTATTCAGAGAATATATTTTTGCCTGCTTTTCTAAGACTGCAAGCCACATAGAAAGCTGCTGCACTATGATTAACACAAATGCCAGTGTTTTCCTAATGTCCTTGACATGACCTAAGAGTTACAGCATTTCACTGCTTTACACATTATCATTTACTGCCATCTACTGACAATGCTGCCAGACACTGAACCATTCCCAGTGTGCAACATACAGACGAGGTAAATACCAATTAACAGCAAACTTCCACCTATATTCTTACATTCTTTGCAGCAATCACTCCAATGATAAAACTAATAAACAACAAGATGCTTTTGGATAGCTACATGGGTAGGAGAATTTTCCTCTAATTAATTAGGTATGACAAAACCTGCTATTATTCAGATAACATGGTTTCCATAGCTCCTCTACATACAGGAGCTGTAGGAGGGCTCCCTTTGCTGCTAGCCTCTGTCCATCTGACAGGCACTCTTGCTCTGAATTTAGCTTCATCTTGACTGTCTTCTCTGTGTTGTACCCACCATGTGCCATATTCAGTCATGCACACACAGAGTACATGTGCCCTGAGGGGGTGCATGCCTTCCCAAGAGGTATATGAAACCCTTCCAAACAGCAAAAAGCTCAAACCAGAGAAATGCTTCAGCCTCTAACCTATGTAATTCCAAATACATTTGTTCTTGATATTTGCTGTTTGCAACAACAGCAAGATATTATTGACAGCAGCCACCCTCTGGAACATTTTTATAGCATTTAGTTTGGCTTTCCTTCACTTCATAATGGGCAGGATCAAGGACCCACTTTGCAGCTCTGGTCTCACAGAGTGGCAACATACTTCAGACAAAACCCATTAATATGCTCTCAAGGGTCAGTGCTGAGAACATGACCTGACGTTCAGGAGCAAAGAGAGTAACCATGGTCAGCCTTTGGAAAAACATACACATGAGGAATTTTATGTGAGGTTTCTACATCAATTCAAGGCATCATCCAAACCTCCCTAGCCACAAGTGGGGAGCGAGATAAGCATGTTGGCTCCCATTCTTGCTCCCAGGAAGCCAGACTTGCGTCACCTCACTTTGCAGTATATCCCTGGGGGTGCTCTTTACAATCCCTGAGCTGCCCCACAGCCTGGGCTTGGGTGGCTCAGCGAGAAGGCACGAGACCAAACTGGCTGGCAAGATCACGCTTCTCACTGAGTCTCTGTATTACACACTATTCTTCTAAAGAGTTATTAATGGCCTTTTAAACCATCTTCCATTTAATTAAAAAGATATTTATTTAACAGAGGAGTAATTCACTTAGAACCAGAGCTAAGGATCAATTACAAATAGTTTACCCTGTGTATGTATAAGAACAACCTTGAAGGCACACTGTTTACACCTTTTAGCACGTTGACTGGCCATTAACAGATACATCATTAGCACCAAAGAAAACTGATATCAGTTTCTTGCTAAATGGTTTATGTGTTTTGGAGGACTATGTAGTATTTCACTTCAACTAGCTCTCCGAATAAGTTCTTGTGACACACTCCCAGCAGTTGACATTAGGCGCAAACAAAATGTTTCAGTATGGAAATACAAAACCAGGCACACCAGAAGTTCGCAAACCTTTTAACAATGGTCAGTAGCAGACGAAGAGGGAAAAGGTTAAAAGAATAGGCAAGGATAGAGTAATACTGCTCTCCACAATCCCCACTAGCAATCTGTGGTTTAGGAACTTCCTGTGTCTCCACCTGTGACAGGTTTCAATGTACTTTTCCTCCACTTGCTTGTCTAATTCCTTTTTGAAGTCACTTACGCTTTCAGTTCCACCATATCCTATGACAATGAGTTGCACTCATCAACTATGTTCTGTATGAAAACAAAACAATATTATAACCTTTCTTTTGTTTGCTTAAAGCCTGTTGTCTGTCAATGATATTGGATAACCTATAGCTCTCGTTTCAAGAGAAGTACAGGGTACTGACCTCCTTCTATTCACAGCTCTGTAGATTTCCATTACACCCCCACTCTCGCCTCTTCTCATAGGTGAAGTGTTTTTCTTTATTTAACCTCTTTCTTAGAGAAGCTGTTCAACAGCTTGAGTCCCTGTCCTTTATTTGTGTAATTTTAAATTCTATTATATCCTTTCTGAGATGGAGAGACCAAAATTGTGCACAGTGTTTTCAAGATGGGGTTGTGCTCCTGTCCTCTGTTTTTGCCTCCTTTCCTGATAATATCCAATATTCTCACTGCTGGCTTTGTTCATCACTTGGCACTAAGCTTACATTTTCATAGAACTGTATCAATAGCCTTAAAATCTTCTTTTTAAGTGGTAAAAGCACTATCATAAGTGACAATATGCAGTAAGGACTGCATTTTCCTCACATCCACTTATTTGCATTCATCAGCCTCCATTTCACCTGCCACTCTATCACCTGAACATGTTGCATAGTATCTCAAGGCTAATTATATGTTCTATATCATAAAGCAGACTACTGAGAACTATCTTTTGAATTGTTGATAGAGAAAGAATAAGGGGAACAGCAAATAAAGTAATTTTTATTCTGTAATTCTTGTGTCAACTGCAGGAAGCTAACAACTCTTACCTGATATTTTAACTGGACTTTGAAAATTTGGCTGAATTTTATGGACATTGTCATTTTTCAGAACTTGGTCCAAAGGAGATCTCTCAAAGAATGTGAGGACAACTTCAGACCTTGAATACTTAAAAAGAGAGAGAAAAATAACAGATATAATTTTTTACCAGTGGTTTGCTTTATTCCCCTTCCCCCTCTCCACCCCTTTGTAGTGTAACAGAAAGACTTATTACAGGCAACAGCTTGGAGGCATCGTACACAGTTCTGGCCCTCAGCATTTCTCCAAGATACTCAATAAATTGCTGTTTCTTTCAGAGTTTGGCAAAACCCACCACTTCCTAATCTGCATGAGAGTGCACGTCACCATAAGGAGGAGTCAAGCTGGGCTAAACTGGAATTTGGCTTGCTCACCTTCCAGGGCATGTTTATAATAGTCTTCAGAAGCTTTTCCACTTCATTAAGTCTGGCTTCTATATCATGGGCTTCTTTTATTGTGATGAGCCCTAGAAACAAGGCAAATAGATCATAAGCATAGACAAAAGCACACTTACACACATTTCAGCAGCCAAAAGCAGCCACTCAGGATGTGAATAACCTCAGATATGCCTCCCAGAAATGTCTTTTAAACCAACTGATCATAAAGAGTGCACCTCAAACTGAGGTGGGTGTAGTTACAAGCAGAGTTGCAAGCCTGACACAAACTCAGCTGTTTGTGATCATATTTAGGAATTGCAAGACAAGCAGAAGTAGAACCACCTACTCCCTCACCCACAGTTTTGCTACACAGCATTCCCAGCAATGATAATCAAACAGCCTGTTTTCTGCTTCCAAGAACCATTATTCATCCTTTTTCTTCCTGTCAATAAAAAGCAAAAGAAAACCCAAGAAAACAAAAAAAATACAACCCACAGATAAGAGGAAAATAATAAACACAAGCTAAACAAAAGGCTTTGAGGGCAGTTTTGTATTTCTCTGACTGTAAGCCCCAGTGAGCGCCCCAAGGAAAATTTCTCAGTATCATGTTTTTCAAGTGCAAGACCACTGTTTGGATTTCTTTTTTTTTCATATAATCACTGAATTACCACAGTGCTGCTGAAAGAATTAAAATGGGAATTTTACTGTCCAGTGTCCAGAATGATGGATTATAATGCAATTTTGAATTGCTCAGTATGGTGATCTTCAACTGTAATACTCTATTTTGTATGTATAACCTGCAGGACATCTGTAACTTCCCCCTCCTCTAGCAGACTGAGAGAAATACAGCACAGGTTTCTCATGTACAGGGAATACGAAGAGAACTAAACCCCAAAATCTCACATTCCTCTAGCAGCCCTTTTATTTCTGATATTTGCAACATACTTTTTCTAACTCAAGCATCATTTAGCCTCTACATTCGTGCATCTTTTCCAAGGAGTAGGACACACACATGAAAATGAAATACATGAGAGAAATTATAAAATTTAACAAGCCACACCAAACAAACAAACAAAAAAAACCAACAAAAAGCTGGAGCAGGAAAAGACCCAATAAATCAAACCCATAAAACCATCAAAACTGCAAATCTGCAAAGCAGTCTGTGAGAAAGCACTTCAATATACTAAAACTGTGTTAAACTAAGTACATCTCTATCTCCCTATTTAAAAGACAAATGTACATGAAGAACCATAAATATGCACAGCGTGGGAACATCCACAGTTTCAGTCTGCATCGGTCTGTGTTGTTTGCTACCAACGAGATGTGATCCCATACAAACTTTCCAGACAAAAGTGTGACATTGAAGCTGTCAGCTCTCCTCCAGTTACAGCTCTAAATAAAACAGAGATTGTTTCCAAAGCAACTGGGTTTACTTGATGGTTGACCCACAAAAGTAGCCTGTTTGTATAAGCCCTTCTATTGCTCAACAAGTCCTTCATTTTGCCTGTTTTTTCAGCATCACTATCACTTCACCCCAGTACAACTCACTGCCCCTTCTAATAGCAGAGCAATGTATACCTGCAGGCATATAAGGAAGGCAGCGTGTGTTTTGCTTTGAATGGTTACACTACAGTTGAGTAGCTTTGCATGGAAATTCTCTGAAAGGCTGTAAATGAGAAAAAACTCATCTGCATGGGTCCACAGACTGCATATTAGCTGGGCTGTGCTTCACATTACAGACTTGAATTGCAGACCAGCACCTTTCATCTTCCTAACTACTGGGTGTGACCAGGCCTGAGTGGATCTGCTTCGCCCCTCCACAAATATGTTCCCATCCCACATCTGAATGACGTTCAAACCTTTCAATACAAGTGGTTTCATCTTCCCTTTTAAAAAAAAAAAAAAGAAAAAAAGAAAAGCTGCCAATGGCCCCATGGCTCAGACACCCACCTATGGATGTTAGAAACATGCTGCTGCCCTGCTGTAGCCCACATCACAGAAAACAGGGCCAGCCACCCTGGTGCCAGCTACTGTGGGGTGCCTCCACTTCACCTGCTGGTCATGATCCACTCTGCACAAATACTAATACAGTTAGAGCAGAGACTACCTGGCTGTGCCTCCCACCTTGCAGGTGAACATCTCATCATCGACCCACACAGGATTCGGCATTCAACTGCTCTGTGTCAAATCTCCCCTCGATATTGGACCCTTTCCCAGATAAGCATTTACTGTTGAAATTAGCATTTTACCAAGAAAAGGGATACTTTCAAATAAATGAAGATATTCTGATCAGGAGGGGGAGAAAAAAAAAAACAACAAACCAAAAAAACACCTTGCCAACAACTCTGAGCATTCATCCTGTGAGGAAAACCAGCCAAGCGGTTAGGACTTTCTCTCATTAGTAATCAGGGAAAGCATCTGCAGCTCCACACGGCCTTTTTATGCTTCACCAAGAAGTCAGACAAGGCTGTCAGCCTGTTGCACTGTCACAGATCACCCCGTGGGAGGTTTCACAGCTTCTTGCATTCACCAGGAATTTCCAGCCCTGGTATATTTCCTCCTTCCAGTTCTTGGAATGACACCAGCCATGCAAACCCACACTCCAACTTGGAAACTGGCACAGACAACTTGTAACATCTGACACGAAAAAAACCACTTCTTACTGAAGCTTTTAGTAATATCAAAACCAAAAAGCAGACAGCGTAGGAAGGAGAGTAAGTGATACATCTGCCTGGACAGCTTCCTATATATGTGCTTAATGATTGGAGACGAACAGCTTTGGGGTATACAGCTGCTGACCTTAAATGAATTCCCCATGTAGGGAATTCAGTTTGGCCAGGCTAAAGCCTTCCTTTTCATACATCTACAGCCCAAACACACAGAAACCACTTGGCTGGCTATATATATATGTTGAAACCCATAATTTCTTCTGCAATTGCCACAAAGTTTGTAAGGCTGTCATTTATCTTAATTCTGCAAGTCTCTGTTTTTAAGAGTTAACAGATGCTTTTGTGGTTTTCAGTTAGTCATAGCCAATGATCCCATGGCCTGAGATACTGCTCCCAATCCCACACCCATGCAAACCAGAGTGAGGCACTGGCTGCCCAAGCAGCCAGGAGGAGTGCAGATCCCAGTCCCTCCTTTCAGTCCCTTTCAGCACTCGCTAACTGGCTGCTGTCATCAACCACGGCACATACGTGCATGAGGAACACCCTGGTTTCGCAAGGTAAGGTCTGTGGTGTCGACATTGGTTTAAGGTGCTCTCACCCTCCCCTGCACCTCATTTCCTCTCCCACACCACAACACAGGGCCTTCTCTGCTTTGCCAGCACAATTAGGTGAGCAGTAGGGAATACCTCAGACCGCTCTTGTCAAAGGCTACACCTCAGGAAACCCCAGACTTCACAGAAGAAGCAAGAGACTGCAGGCTAGGATGCCCCATTCAAGCTCCTTTCTCACCCAGGAATCAGGATTTGTGTAGGTAAGGGTCACAGAACTGCACCCAAGTTTCTTCACTTTGTGGGGGCTTCTCTCCTGCCTGTCTTCTTTCTCCTGTTTGGAAAATTTGATGAGGCAGAAAGAAAGGAAAAAAAAAAAAAGCCAGAGACTGATGTAGGATCTCCAGACTCTGGAAATGCCTGAACAAACAGACACACACATGCCAGCTGACTCTGCAGACAGGGCCCAGCACTCCAATCATTCATTAACCCTGATACAAATGCACCACAAGCTGGATGCATCTGGAGTGCGTGGGACCCACTGACCGCATATGAAGCATCCATACAGCAGCTATAACATGCCCCAAGGCTGTTGTCTCTGCCCACAGACCATAAATATGTGTCTAGCCTATATTTCCATCTGGGGCTTTTACAACCCAAGAGCCCTTATTCCACTTGCTATAAAATAAAAATAAGATACTGGTAAAGCAAACAGTATCCTGGAACCAGTTGTGTTTTCTCCACTTGTTCAGTCATGCAACAGAACTGAGCTCAGAGCTGGGAAATTTGTTAGTGAGGTCATGGTGAAAGGCTGTTCTCATGCCTTTTTCTCTGCCCTGGCCCTTGTCTGACTGCTAATGGAAAACATGCACAAACTCCTCCCAGGAAAACTTTGCTCTCTGTCTTGTTACCCATACCGTGCTTGGACAATTAGCTATTATTTCAAGTGATTTAAATGCTATAAACATCTATGTTTATAGGGCTTGAGGTAAACTGAGTCCCTCTGGCTCCTTTTTTTACCACACACCCTATTGCCAAATACCACAAACTTCTAAGATTCCTTCACTCTGCACACAGGGGAGCCCACACGCTGGGTGCCAGGAGGGATGACACAGGCATACTACCTAACACAGGCTGGCACTCACCTGCTGTGTGCACGGCCCCCATAGTCAGTGACCTCACTCAATCCCTTTGACATCATCTCTGCCACTTTCCAGACCAAAAGCCCCAGGCAGAGTCCTCAAGACTCTGTGAAAAGGATTTGGTTGCCATTTGAGACCAAGCGTAGGTAGCAACTTTACGCAGAGCAACACGTGTCTGGAAAAGCACAGTACAAACAGCACCACGGGCCTGCAGCATCCTTCCTGCTCTGGGACCCTGGTGCCGGAGCAGCTGCAGGAGGCTGGGGGAGCAGGCCAGCAGCTGTGTACCTGGTATGCTGGCTTAAGGCATGGGAGAGGGGCCCAGAGCTGCTAACAGGCAGGAAACGAGCTCAGCAGCAGAGGAGAACAAACTGAGAGCCAACCTCTGATGTAAACACAGAAGCCTTGGTAGTGCTGTCCTATTACTGCCATGTGAGCCACCAAATCTGCAATTAATGACATTCTGAAAACCATAGATAATGCATCCCATGCTTCTACCACAGGAAGCAGGACAGGAATTGCAGCATGTGCTTCATGGCTCATAATGAAATCATAGAGCAGTCCTGATGGTCAGCATTGACAATGAGCACGTTGTCTCAAATATCCTATAGTGCCTTCCAAGGAAGAGTAAGCTCATGCCTAACTCCCGATGTCTCCAGTGTCACCTTTCAATGATGATACACAGAAGTTTGTTTTTTTCTGGAGATGTGTTGCTATATACAAGTCGCTA